GGGAGTTCGGAATCCAGAAAGACCGGACCACGGCGTACCACCCCCAGGCGAACGGTATAGTTGAGCGTATGAATCAAACTCTGGCCGGAAAGCTCAAGCGTATGGCGGCCGCAAACCAACGGGATTGGGACGAACACCTCCCCTACGCCCTGTTCGCCTACGCCACCACGGTGCATACATCGACGGGACAAACCCCATTCCTAATGATGTTTGGTCGTGAGTCTCGTCTACCCGCAGACTTGCTGTTCGGCATTCCTCCACCCCAAACGGAGGAAGGGAGTCGCCCCGTGGAGCATCTGATGGAGACTCTACGAGGGGCCCGGGACCGGGCCTACCCGCAAGGGGAGGCCGCGCATCGGCGACAGGAGCAGAGCACCCGACCCCGCGTGGAGCCCCCCCTTTTCTTGACAGGCACCAAGGTGTGGCTACACACCCCTCGCGTCGGGGCCGGACAGCTGGGGAAGCTGACCACCTACTGGCGGGGACCCTGGACCGTGGTACGGCAGATCTCTCCCTGGACGGTATTAATCCAGGGTGGAGAGAGGGGCCGAGAAACGGTGGTTAACGTCCGCCGCTTAAAACCATGGAGGGCAGCCCCGGCGGGGGAGAACCTCGCCGCCCGAGTTCCGCGAAATCCCGGTGCCCCTGCGCCACCCGTGCTCGGAGGCCTCGCGCACTACATGGGCCCCGCCGGGCCCCCAGCCCCGAGGCGTCCCGGCCCCGCCAGAGGACGGCGGGGACGCCGCCCCTTAAACCCCGCTGCCGCGGAGTTTGTTCCCCAGCCCCCAGGTGCCGAGGGACAGGAGGAGCCACTGGAGTGGAGAAGGAGACCGCCGCAGGAAACCCCGAGGACGGAGCCACTTCCCCCGAGGCCAGCCACGAGATCCGGGCGGATCCCCCGGACCCCGCAGCGCTACCTCGTGGGCATGGCCCAGGCGAGGTGCTCCAGTCAATCTGGGACGGGGACTGGCACCTCGGGGGGCTATGTGATGCCGCCGCCACGGAGCCGATCGGCGGGTGGCCCACCTGCGATCTCGCCGCCCCGAGCGACGAGGCCGACATTGCTCCACCCCACCACCTCCCCACCCCCCCCACCGGAACACACACGCACGCACTCCCCCCACCATTAGAGCGCGTGGGAAGACACCCTGGCCGACAGGTTTTCACCCAGAAGCCCTCGTAAAGGGATAATCTTCACGGTTTCCTGCGGCCAGGAAATTGGACGGTCTCCTCCGACGCTAACACACACCGTGGCGCCGTGACTTGAGTAGAAGTGACATGTTCACGGCGGGGCTGCCCCGCCACCGCGGTTAGTATGCACCTCATGCACACGGGTCGGCAGGGCAGGTAGGGAGGAGGGCAGAGCCACGAGCGGCGGGAAAGCAGGGTCGGCCTCTGGCTGGATGGCCGCTGAGCAGGTAAATTTAGATGCGGACATCGCTGAAAGCAACGGCCCGGGGGATGCTGGGATACAGATGGGCCTACCGATTGGCGGGTGATCCCAGCGAGCTGATTGGCCCGCGAGTCGGCACCAGGTAGCCCCTTTGATGTAGAAAGAATAAAGCGGGTCAGGGCGAAGGAAAAAGGGTCTCTGGCTACTCGAGTCAACCCCAGGCCCGTCAACTCCCGAGTCCAGCCGCGCGAACGTCCGTGGGACGTATTGACGCGCCGCGAGGACCAGCCGGCAGTGACGACGAACCGTGAATAAGGGAGGGAAAGAAAGAGGGAGTTGGGACTTAGCTTAAGAAGAAAACCGGAGAGGGTAAAGGGGAGAAGGACAGGTAGAGTATAGTGCCGACTATCGAGAGATAGATTGGTCCTGCCCCGCCGATCCCGACTGACTCGGTTAAATAAGGGCTCGCCGACCCGGTGGAATAAATCGTCGGCGATTACATAACGGACTGGTGTGGTTTTTGCGAGGGTGTGGAAAGAGAGTGGAAGCGTGGGTGCGCTCGCTGTTCGCGGTGGTCGCCGCGTGTGTGGAGAGCGCCGTGTGAGGTGTGGGCGCTACAAACCGTCGGCGGCGGACTCCCCCGTTGCGAGCGGATACCCATCTCGCACGCATGCCCATCGCATAGCCCTTTAAACCCGTTTAACCCAATCCCCCCAATCGCCGGAGTGGGTACGAACGACGTCGCTTACCCTCCGACCTATAACCCCCGGTTACCCGCGTGTGATTGGTGCGTGGGACTGCGCGGGCGGGGAGCGTCGCGTTCGGGTGCCGGCGAAGCGCTAGCGGGCCCCAGGGCGGTCGAGGGCGATGCCTCACCGGCAGGAAACCCGGACTCGGGGGGGGACAGCACAGGGGGGGAACAGGAGCGCGGCAACCTTTCCCCGCCCGGTGAGGAGTGCAGCGGCGGCAGCTCCCACACTAGTGGGGAGTCTGGGAGCGTCAGTACTTCGCGGACAGGGTCGCAGGCAGGAGAGATCCCGGGGGCCGGCGACCCTAACACTTTCTTCAAACACCGCTTTATTTACATCATTCAACATGTCCTCCACGCTCCACAGTATCCTGGTGACTACGGCTCGCTCGCCGTGCTCCGCCCGTCTCGCTCACCGCCTTTGTCTCCCCACTATCACTTCACTTCTCCGCACACAGCAAGTCTCCGTTCAGCAACTCCGCACACAGCGTCTTCGCTCCGCTATCGCTACGCTCACTCCACTGCTAACTACTTCGTCTTGCTTCAGGTCCGCTATCGCCATGTTCACTCCACTGCTAACTACTTCAACTTGCTTCAGCTCCACTATCGCCATGCTCACTCCACTGCTAACTACTTCGTCTTGCTTCAGCTCCGCTAACGCTATTCCAAACTCCGTTTCTCACTCTGTCTCCAACTCTGTTCCGAACTCTGTTTCTACTCTGTTTCCACACTCTGTTTCTAGACTCTGCTTCTACTCCGTTCTTAACTCTGCGTCTTCATCGTCCAGCTCCCAACTCCAACCAACCTCTGTCTCTGTGTCTCCCCCAATTTATCCCCATTCTCATTATCGCTAATTAATTGGCCTGCATGCCTCTGTACGCTTCGCGTCCTCAAACACCTGTCCTTCTCCATACATCCCGACGCCTCCTCGCCCTTGACAACAGCCACAGCCAATCACCGCCGTTGCTGATCCTCTGTTTTAATTGGCTCAACCGTTACCTCATCATCCCACCCTTTGCACCTGGCTGTCCTAAGACGACCCACACTGTTTACACCTTCTCCACAGGCTGACCCCAGATAAACCCACACTGTCCGTGTGATCATGCAATCGCGCAGTTTCCACAACACACCTTCATACTCCACTACATATGTATTGAAATACACTTCACATTGAGTTCGAGGCTCAATTTGCCTCAGTAATTTCTTTAGTTTGCAATGATTTTTAGCATTAAACGTCGTACAATTCAGAGTTGAGCTACACGAAACGCAACAATATTATCCTTGACCTTGGCCGTTCGGGTAAAACGCTTTGACGGTCCTGCAAGTCAAAATTCAAGGGCTGCAATTATCTCTTCCCGAGTCTTAATTAATCGACTCAACAAAAGCGACCAAGCTGCACTCCCAGGAGGGCACAATTAATTATAGCCACGCTGATGAATGCGGGTCACAGAGACGGTATTCTCATTTATACCGGCATAGGCCAGAGATTCATCATTGAAATTACAGCAATTAATGCAGTAATCCATTGAAATTACAGCAGTTCATAGGTTAACTGCTGTAGATTCAAACTGATGGGTGGCACACATATGAAAGTCTTCTTGGTTCTTTCGGTAAAGTCACGTATTTTATTTTATTATCTTTTGTTTTTATTATTTTATTATTTCCCTTCTACGTGACTTTACCGAAAGAACCAAGAAGATGAATCCCTGTGGTCACGAAAGCTTTAAATCGAAACATATGAAAGTGTTGTGTATAATATATCTAAATCTGTTTATTTTGTTTGTAATGGGTTAACTGCTGATTTAACTGCCGTTACCCCACGGGTTGAAATTACAGCAGTTAATGGGTTAACCCATGGGTTGAAATGACAGCGGTTAAATGGGTTAACCCAGGGGTTAAAATTCCGACATGTGCCCACCGGGATGAGCGTTATTGACCCATCTTCATAAGCGTGGAATTTACCCATTTCCCAAAGTAGTCTCGAGCCCAGATGAACTTAGAATATGAATTGTGCACTTTAGATTAGAAGCAATTTAAAATAACTAAATATTAAAAATGCTTCACACTCATTATTTTTAATAATATATGATCAAATTATGGGTGGCACACATATGAAAGTTGTGTGTCTAATATGTTTAAATCCGTTTATTTTGTTTGTATATTAATGCACGTATGCATACGGGGGGCTTTTAATATATAATGCATACATAGGGTACTTAAGTAATGAATCTCTAGGGCAATATCATCCCCCATTAAGAAGGCACATGGACTAATTAGGGCATATGGACTCATTAGCATGCATGCAAGCGCTCAAATTGATGCACAGGGGGCAATATAAATGAATGATGGAATACTAAGTGACAAATATTTTATTCTGTTACGGGAGGCTTGCGTACTTGATACCCACAGTAAAAGACAGTACTTGTGAACTGACTATACAGTCCCTGTATATAAAGCCACGCTATATAAAAGTCGGAGTTATATACTCCTTCAAACACTAACAAAATTAATGTATTCAATTCCATTATACACCATTTTAAAATGTGTGCCATATATATAATATTTCGGGTTTTTTTAATAGGTTTAAGCATTTTCGATAATTAGTTAATTTAAAATATAACTCAAAACATGACCCAATTGCTTCTAATGGAATCACCCCCAACCCGAAGTCTACATATCACATTATGAGCTAATCTTGACTCAAAAAGACTCCTCAGGGCAATGGGTAAATCCGCAGGGCGCTGCAGCACGCATCAGCCAGCCCGGAACCTCCCATCGCACCTGAAGGCTCACGGTCACGTGGTCCCCAAAACGCATATAAATCAGCAGATTCCACGAGCATCACTGATCTACCCTCAGTCCAAGCAACTGAAACCTGGGTGAGTTCGCTTACATTTTTTTGTGCCATTGCACATCATTGTTATTTTAATATTCGTGAGCATGTGTTCTGTTGTCACCTCAACAGGGACTTTGTGATAAGGTGTCGGGCTGTAGACGCGGGAGCCCAAGGAACGCAATTATGGACAACAAAAGCTCCGTGCTCTACCTCGCCACATTTGAAGCCCCGTACCCTGTGCAGGTGCTCATACTCAGCCTGTGCCTTACGATGTACCTAACTATAACTGCCGCCAATCTGCTGGTGCTCGTGACGGTGGCGGTGTCCACAGACTTACACAAGCCCATGCACATATTTCTGTGCAATCTTGTGATTGGCGACATCATTGGCAGCACAAGTGGCGTGCCCAAGCAACTACAGGTCCTCCTGACGAGCAACAGAGAGATCCTGTACGTGTCATGTGTCGCACAGATGTTCACACTTCACATATTCGCCATGAATGAGATTTTTACATTGGCTATGATGTCTGTTGATCGCTACCTGGCTATCTGCTACCCATTGCACTACCATACCAAGGTTACATTAAAGCGATCCATTTTCCTGTCATTACTGTCTTGGCTGATTGCAATAGTTGCAGTCGGCGTTCAAGTGATCCTCATTCTTCAAGTTAAATTGAAGGAAAACTACAGACAAATCCAGGGCATATTTTGTGACAATATGGGAATTTCGAAGTTAGCCATCGATGACACAAGCAAAGTAGAATCTTACGGAATATCAATGATTGCGATGTACATTATCTCTCCTTTCTGTGTCATTGCGTACACCTACATTCGGATTCTTGTTGAGTGCAAGAATTCGAGCTCCTCCGAGTTCAGGGGCAAAGCCCTGCACACATTCGGCACGCATTTCATGGCGCTCGCCGTCTTTTTCACGTCCGTTTTTTCGGACATCCTTTTGCCGCGCTTTGTGAAGGATGTGGACAGCGAGGGAGCGAGAAACTTCAGATCCGCCGCTCAATTGGTGTTCTTGCTCAGCCCGGTTGCGAACGTGCTCATTTACTGCCTCCGCACGACTGAGCTGAGACTCACAATTAGTACGCACTTCAAGAAGATCTTGCGTAAGGTGCATTTATGTCCAGAAATGAAAGTTCACGTTTTAGGTCGCGGTTGAATGATGCTTTAACACAAAAGCACAAACGTAAAATGTTCATGTAGGGAGTGCAAACTTGTATTAGGTTACTAAGTGCACATTTTCTGAAACATTATACTCCATGGTACCTAGCTTTCACGTTTTAGCTAACCTATGAAAGTAATTTTTGTCTGTCTGTCCATCTGTCTGCCTGTGTGTGGCCGACACTTGCGAGCGATTTGGCTCTTGAACCGTGGGGTTTATGTTTAAAAAAAAGTACCCAGGTAGCACGCCATAAGCCCCGTGTTGAGCCAGCGCTATTCCGATTTCGCGTCCGTCACCTTTAAAGAAGTTTAGCAATTTAGTGCTATTTTTATTAATTTATTACGTTGCGCTTCTGAGCGCGCGTCAAAGCACGCATCTGCGCATGTGCGCCCCTACCAAGTCACACGCGTTCGGTGGGGGGGAAGGGGGGAATTCTCATTCGTGTGGACACTGTGCAAGGTAACACAAAGATTTACAGCTCCCTTCAAACATTTATTACCATGACTGTTTACGCATATTTTTAATGGCAGGGATTAAGCAATGTTTGATGATAGTTACTCTACATCATTAGATCTCCTTTGACAGTACCAAAATATAATATAAGTTTTCCCCTTTTTTCTGGCAACTAAGCTGAAAGCTTTTACAAGGATTCATGTCTGCATTAACCACAATACTTGCAGTCAAATGCAAACAAAAAACACTATGATAATATATGCATTGTCCTTGAAACTGATTGGTCCACACCAAGGAACGGCTTTCTTTTGAGGCTCAACCAAATTGGTGCTCGACCAGAGGACGCCAAAAGCCGTACAGCTCAAAGACAATGCACTATCACCACCAATTGGGTCGAGGCTAAAAAGAAAGCCGTCCCTTGGTGTGGACCAATCAGTTTCAAGGGCAACGCATATATTATCATAGTGTGTTTTTTTGTTTGCATTTGACTGCAAGTATTGTGGTTAATGCAGACATGAATCCTTGTTAAAAGGTTTAAGTTTTGTTTGCCAGAAAAAAGAGGAAAACCCCTATAACTATAATAATACATCTAAGTAACACAATTTTTCTCCCTGAGTACTTAGTGCTGCTTTGAAATTGTTATATACAAAATGGCTATTATTTCCCCACAAACTTTGCTGTAGCGACCACATCTTTACGTGAGAGAATGACACTTATGCACACGCTTTCGCTTTAAAAATACGTAAATTTCTAAATATCACGAAAGCTTCAAATCAAGATCAGTGTCCTGCTCACAAAAAACAAGTTCGATTGAAAGAAACGCCTTTTTCTGTACTCGAGACATCAGCAGCCATGTAATATCACTTACTGCACAGGGGAAAACCAATAAATAGACTGATTGCTATTACGTCTTCATTCTAGCATATTTACACTTGCCCCCTCAGTACGGGGATTGAGCAGTGACATGTCCATTACGCTTAATTGGTGCGCATCTGGTCATAGTTACAGGTAGGATAAGTTGATTTATTATTCGTTGACTTTCATTTATTTGCCGCTTTTGCTCGCGGCAAATGTTTGCACAAAAATGGTGGAAGACCATCGTCGTCGCTCTTAATTCCTTATTAGACACGCATGCATTTCCCCTTTTCCTTGCTTATTTCCCTAAAGTCACGTAGATAGAAAACTATTATTTAAAAACTTCGTTAGTAAATCTAAAAGTAATAATGTGTGTGTGCACGTCGATATGTGTGCGTTGTGTGTGTGTAAGTCGGTATGTGTGTAAGTTGATGTGTGTGTATCCGTCGCTATGTGTGTGCGTGTGTAAGTTGATGTGTGTGTGTGAGTCTATGTAAGTGTGTGTGTGTAAGGTGTTAGTCGATGTATGTGGGTGGATGTATGTGTGTATGTAAGTCGATGTGTATGTGTGAGTCGATGTATGTATATGCGTGTGAGTCGATGTGTGCGTGTGTAAGTCGGTGTGTGTGGGTGAGTCCATGTGTGTGTGTGTGTAGGTCGATGTGTGTATGTGAGTCGCTGTGTGTGTGTGTCGATGTCTGTGTGTAAGTCGATGTGTGTGTGTGAGTCGATGTGTGCAGGTCCATGTGTGTGTGTCGATGTGTGTGTGTGGGTCAATGTCTTTGTGTGTCTTTAAGTTACCATAATTATACTGGTAGGAACGAAGTTGTAAACTGAGTGTACCAGCCTGCAATAGATTAATGTGTCCGTCTGTCCCCTTTCAATACTTTAACGAAGTGATCAATACTTTAACGAAGTGAAATCTCGTGCTGTTGGGTGTAAAAAAAAATCCAATGTTCCTACCAGCCCACCCTGCAGGGACCTGTTGATTCATGACAGCAATACATTGTTACTTAGAATGAACGATATTGCCCTATTAGGTAATAGTAATATTTAAAGGATCAATTTCCATGCCCAATAACAAACACAGTTGAAGCCAATGACTTTATCATGTTGAATGTGCCAATTCTCGTTATATCTCAGAAACTAAGCTGGGTTTGTGCTGGATGGTGCTTTGTGGGTGGGTAACCACCTTGCACGAAGCTCGTGTTGTAGGCTGTTGTAAAATCCAGGGTTGTACTGCATTCCTCTGGTCCAATGTCTATTCTCCAAATCCACAAACAGGTATATTGTAAGTAGAGGGCTGTGCAGAAAAAAATAGTGTACTGCACTTCTATGCTCAAATGTCTATGCTCCTCTCCACCAATCTACACTGACCACCAAGTTTCATTTATTAGGTATAGCCCTGTGAGCCATGCAGCTCTTAAGCCGGGTGCAACCGCAACAAACAAAATTTGAACACAGAACATCCCAAAGCGACAACGCGTAACAGAAACATCCTGGAATAAATCAGCAAATATTCCACGCAAAAAAAACGTATTAAGACGCTTTGTGCAAAAATCAATGTGGTGCAAGCCAACAACCATAAGACAATTTAGATTAACCATATGTTTTCGAATCACTAAAATAAAGCTATAAAAACAATGTAACAACAGTCATCATAGGAACTGTGATTTCAAATTTAACAATAAACGATATACATAACACGTACAACAAAAAACTGCAGCCATAGCTGGCAGCACGGCACTCCCAGTGTATGATGTGTGAGTGAGTCAGTAGTAGCTTGAGTGAGTGTATGATGTGTGAGTCAGCGCACGATGAGTGAGTCAGTGTATAATGTGCGAGTGAGCCAGAACACGATGAGTGAACCTGTGTATGATGAGTGAATGGGTCAGTGGTTGTGCGAGTGTATGATGAGTGAGTGAGTAAGCGCATGATGAGCGAGTCAGTGTATGATGTGTGAGAAAGTCAGTGCATGGTGCGAGTGAGTCAGTGTATGATGTGTGAGAAAGTCAGTGTCGGCTCCATCTGCTCTCTCCGTCGCCCCCCTCAGCTCCGGCTCCGCCCCCCCCCCGGCTCCGTCGCCCCCCCCCCAGCTCCGTCGCCCCCCCCTTCTCCGTCGCCCCTCCCCCAGCTCCGTCGCCCCCCCCGGCTCTGTCGGCCCCCCCCTGGCTCCGTCACCCCCCCCTCTCCGTCGCCCCCCCCCCCCCAGCTCCGTCGCCCCCCCCCGGCTCCGTCGGCCCCCCTCAGCTCCGTCGCCCCTTCCCGACTCCATCAGCCCCCCGCTGGCTTTGTCGCCACCCCCCCCCCGGCTCCGTCGGCCCTCCCCCCAGCTCTGTCGGCCCTCCCCCCTCCCGGCTCCTTCGCCCCCCTCCCCCCCCCGGCTCCGTCGCCCCCCCCCCGCCCCCCTCGGCTCCGTCGGCCTCCTCGGCTCCATCGGCTCCCTCCGTCGGCTCCCTCGGCCCCCTCACAAATGACCCCACCAGCCGCTGCTGGGACGCGGCCCGGGAGTGCCCCGGGAGCGCGCACGCCTCAGGCGGCCATCTTGCTACACCTGGTGAAGTGTGATGGGCTGTGTGTCACTGGCGCGACCACCGTTGCGGTGGTTCTCTTGCGTTGACGCGCTTGCCTCTCACAGGCAGCACCACAGCTTGTGTTACACATAGACATGACATTAACTTGCTAATCCCTCTAATCTCTCTGCCTAATCGCTACCATCAACATAGTGCTAATTTCCCAATAACACTGCTGTTGTGCGCATATGCACGGACGATACTCTTATGCGGCGATGGAAGCTCATTTCATGCTAATCTCTCCCTCCCTAATCTCCCCCATGAATACAACTGACGTGCTTGCGTGCGGGGATGTAATTCCTTTCCAGCTCAGACCCCGCCTGTTTGCTCTTCGCCACATATATAACATCTTGTTATAACAACTCTTTGGCTGTGTTCTTCCTGGTTCAGCAGTTCCACTGCTGGATTATTTTTTACGCCTGAGGATGACCGCTTGTGTTGCGATCAAAACGTCGTGATATATTTTATTTTATTTTTCTACCTATGTGACTTTACCAAAATAACCAAAGAGTATGGTGAAGTATGGTCAAACCATACAGCCTAGGGGAATCCTCAGGTGTGAATTGCCAATTGGCTGTACACACATCATGAAGTAGAAATTTCGTACGTTGCTTAATATTAATAAAACTCGTTTCTTCATACACACATGAATCATTTCCATACACGACAATCGCCTTCCGAGTTGGACGCTCTTTCTAGGTTGTGCTTTCATGACTAAACACAGTACTATTCGTTCTTAAATGCAATTGCATTAGATAGTAAAATAACGTTAAACATTGCAATATATAAACAAATGGTACGAAAAAAGCTATGCATTCATCAAATTAATGTGCCTTTTCCAATTCTCTGTTGATTTTGAAATAATACATAAAAACAAGATACGTTGCAATGGAAATCAGTGGGCAGCAATATCAGCAGCTTGTATTTCTGTTGAAGTGGCATTTGGCTGCAGTAGGGTAATCGAGATACATGTACACAGCATACACTGTGTGCATTACAGGTTGTGGTAACACTCGTGCCTCACAGCTAGAAGGACAAGGGGTTCGATTCGCAACTCAGGCACCTTACTGTGTACAGTCTGTGTGTTCTGCCCCTGTTCTGCACTGGGTTGCCCTGGGTTCTCCGGTTTCGTAGCAAAAAAAAACACCAACTCCAACTGGTATCGGCCAAACATTCAAACGTTAAAAGCAAAACCATTACATGAAAATTACGAAATTGGCATGCAGGTAGCAACATCGTCCCCGATTGCAAAATCTTCTCAGGATTCTCCGAAAAAGGAGTATTGAGACTCAGTGAGGGTATCCCGGGTAAACGAGCAGATTAGCAATGAAAATAAATGTTGTGGGCCCGGAGGAAGCACCCAGACATTGTCCTCATTAAGCGTGGGGATAGCGACCATGGCCAGACACAGCACGGGCAGACGGCAGCCCCTTGAGACCCTGGGACCGGCTGTCTGTATCTCATCCCAATCCTCAATCCTGGCGAGTCAAATTTGTACAAGAGTCAACTAAAGAAGCTCGTCCAGCACCACCGCTGGAAGATATTATTCTTGCAGAATTCGTGACAATATATCTATAAATGTAATGTTTAATTTTCTATGTAATTGTTGATCCTCTCTCATTGCACTCACTGTAATGCACGCGTGCACGCTGTGTCTATGCATCTCGGTTACCCTGCTGTAGTCGAAACGTCTCCGCAGATTAAATACACGAGCTGCTGCCGTGCGCATTATATGATGGGTCAGCTGGGAATGAGACTGTCCGACTTTGACTGGACAATGTGCACCATGATTT